GACCCTCCTCCACCACCTCAAACTACAAGACCGCCTCCGCCGACCTGGTCAGAAGGCAACTTCACGACCCCTGATCCGAAACGACAGAGCAACGGCGTGCCAGGGAACATACCCAACAGCTTCAAGAGCAGGAGTGAAGAAAGCATCAACTTGAAATTCTCGCCTTCGGACTGGCATGGCAAGTTCGAAGGCAGTGGCAGTTACTTTGCTCCTAACATGCAAAAAGGTGCCAACGGAAAAGGCCGAGCCTCTCCAACCCGCGGCAGATCACAGCGAAATGCGGCAGACCGCAACCCCTTCAGCACGCGGCCGATGGAGCCGCCTCCCGTTGCGCCCAACGGACAGCCAATACCTCCTCCTCCACCGGGTCCACCGCCTGGCGTCAACTTCGCCCCACCTAAGATGGCGCCACACACTGCCAAGTTCAGTCCTCAAGCCTGGCAAGAGACGTTCAAGGATCCGAACTGGGTATACAATCAGGAGAAGGAGACATCGCCGCGTCGGCCATCAGAGGCTACGAAACGTCCAAAGGCTGCGCGAAAGGCTTCGGTACAGCAGAACGGGGCGTCGAAGCCACAGGAATCAAGCGACTCGGCGAGGTCCAAGTACCAGGCCTTTGCAGAAGAGCCAGCCAATGGTGATGTAGATGCCATGGATATCGACCCTGTCCCACCACCAAGCGCGAAGCCCGCAAAGAAGGGAACGCGTACATCACCAAGACTGAACACGGCAGGTGCACAGGCGACACCGAATGGCTCTGCTACTGCACCTTCTTCTGCGACCACTGCAAAACCACCAGCCGAAGGACTGAACGGTCTTGGTCCAGACTTGATCAATCCGGTCGTGGAGCCTCAAAACAACGGACTTTCCGGCTTGGGATCTGTAATGGATGCTCTCCCTTTTCCTTCCGGCGCATCCAACTCACATCCCATCAAGGCAAACGCTGCAAAGAATCTTAAGTATCCAGATATACCTCGTGCACCTATTCCACCTACCAAGCTGGATGTGGCTTCCGTAAACACGTACTTCGACCACATGGGCGTTTATGTCAAATCCTACAGAGCGTACTGTCAAACCCTTACTAGCCACTTTGCTGCGCGGAGCAGCGAGATGGAGGATTTAGATCATCACTTCATCCACCAGCGCGGCGAGACTACCAGGGGAATTGGGTTTGCGAGCTACATGGCCAAGATGGAAGAGGATGAAAGTGTCATGGAAACATGGAAGCTTGCGCAAGAAAAGCACATCACTGCGCTGCAGCAGTGTGCCGATGTGCGGAACAAGACCATGAAGTTGTACCAGACTCTACAGACCTGAGCCTGGCGCTTTGTCGCTGGCTTGAGTTTGCAGGTGTGCTGACGTGTCCTAGAGCGGCCCGTTGCCAAGGAGAGGGCAGACGCCGGGACCTTCATGACGTTGTCGAAGAGCTGCAGGAGTTCACTTTGAAAGAGACCCAGTCCGTTCCTACCCATGCGGCAACTTCACGCCGACGCACGTCTAGTTCAGTTCTTGGTATGAGGATCTCGAGTGCGTTTCGCACTGCTGCACGCAGCCCGCCGAATATGGACGGCGGTATCGAGATCTTGACAGGTAGAAGTGCGCCAAAACCCCAGCCACTGCTGTCGAGGAAGAAGAAATATCACGTTCTTGGGTAGCGATGGCGTTTGGGCTGAGCATTTAATACCCCTGATGCAGCTTCCAGGTTGCGACGTCATTGGATGTCTTCACGGTTCTGCATGTGTAATTGTAGTAATATAGATATCGGTCATGGTATAAAAAGCAGGAACCCTACAAAGTCATCTTTGGATACACGTAACAACTTCTTACCCTGCATGTCACCCGCACCCTGGATCTGCATCTTGCGCGAACTTGACTCCCGCGGTTGCAGCGCATGACGCCCGCCGACCCGAGGCAGATTAGCAGTTAGCACTAGAAGCACGCGCTTGTGCGGGCGGAAGAATAGACGGCTAAACAGCACGCCGAACTTCCATCCCATCTCTTCATCCACAGCGGACACCATTGTACCGCGATTGAGCAATACTAAGTGGTATGACCGTCTTGGATCCAACTGCAATTTGCTTGGCTTCAGGATAGCCGTCCCGCCGGGTAAATAGCAGAGCGGCTGGCGGCATCGTGGGGCAGACTACCCCTCCATTCATAAGGGCCCATGGGGAAGGGCAACGTATAGCTATATAACATTGCTGCTTTTTTCAGTTCAACTCAATCAAATCATCTCAACATCAACCAGAACTGAAACACATACAAACATACCAAAACAAACAATCATGGCAGACAAAGAACCAATCGTAACCCACGTCTTCACCGCCGACCCCTCGGCCCACGTCTTCAATGGCAAACTCTACGTCTACCCCTCGCACGACCGCGAGACAGACATCGCCGACAACGACAACGGCGACCAATACGACATGAACGACTACCACGTCTTCAGCATGGAAGAAGTCGGCGGCCCCGTCACCGACCACGGCGTAGCCCTCAAGCAAGAAGACATCCCTTGGGTGCAAAAACAACTCTGGGCCCCTGACGCCGCAACCAAGAACGGGAAATACTATCTCTTCTTCCCGGCCCGCGATAAGGAGGGTATCTTCCGCGTCGGCGTTGCGAGCGGCGAGAAGCCAGAGGGCCCGTTTAAACCGGAGGCTGAACCTATCAAGGGGAGTTTCAGTATTGATCCGGCGAGTTTTGTGGATGAGGATGGGGAGGCGTATTTGTATTTTGGCGGGATTTGGGGTGGGCAGTTGCAGTGTTGGAAGACGGGGGAGTTTGTCCGCGAGGACTATGAGACTATGGAGGCGTCGTCTGGACCGGCTCTGTGTGCGAAAGTAGCGAAGCTGTCGGATGATATGACGACTTTCACCTCGGAGGTTAAGGATGTTGTTATCCTTGATGAGGCGGGCCAGCCTATCCAGGCGGAGGACCACGACAGGAGGTTCTTTGAGGCGGCGTGGATGCACAAGTATGGTGGGAAGTACTACTTCTCGTACTCGACGGGGGATACGCACTTCCTTTGCTATGCGATTGGAGATAGCCCGCTTGGACCGTTTACCTACGGCGGACGCATTCTGGAGCCGGTGATTGGGTGGACGACGCATCACAGTATTGCGGAGTTCAAGGGGAAGTGGTATTTGTTTTACCATGATAGTAGTTTGAGCAAGGGGGTTAATCATCTGCGGTGTGTTAAGATTAGGGAGATTGTTTATGATGAGGCGGGGAAGATTAAACTTGCGGAGAGTCAGCCGAAGGTTATGTGAGGGGTTGGTTGCGTTACTTGCTATGTAGGATGGATGCTAGGATGGGAACCATGTCCACCAAAAGAACTTCTTTATCCAACTCCACTTTCCGCGTCGTTCAACGGGATAGCTCCCCTGCTTCACAGGTTCCTCTTCCATTGTCGACAGGGAAGCATCATCCCTCACTTCCTCGCTCCTGCTCTTCCTTTCCACCGCCCTCTGAATCTTACCCTGCCGTCTCTCTTTCTTCCTCCGCTCGATCTCCTCCAACCTCTTCCTAATCTCTCTCGCCAAAGGACACCTCAAACACCTCTCCGCCTCCTCCTTCTCCTCAACACCCTCCACCCCCTCCCAGCTCCCCCTGTTCAAAACCCTCTCCACCTCAACCCCCGCCTCCCACTCCCCCCACCCCACCATCCCCATATTCCTCACAAACCACATCCTAAACTGCTCATCCGGCGACTCGCAAAACGGCGCCGGGAACTGGTCTTTCCTGATATTTGGATTAGACAGTATATTGCCCATTTCCGGTACTAATCCCGCTCCCTGAATGCCGTTTCTCGTCCAGCTTGTGCCGATGGAAGAGCAACTAGCCGGTACATTGGCCTTCTCATACCGAACCAGTTTGTCGATGCGGAAATCGCCGAATTGAGGGTATATGGGGCCGTCGCGGTATTCGGTCTTTTTTATTAGGAGGCGGGGGAAGGTGGAGGGGGCTTGGAAGGGCATTTCGACTAGGCCTGCTGCTTGCATCTTTTTGGAGGGGAGTATGCCGCGGGGGTCGAGGGTGTAGTAAGCGGAGTCTTTGTAGATGTGTTTTTCGCCCTTCCATTTTGGGGGCGATGCGACGGAGTCTGTTTTCCAGGACGGGGGTTTGGAGAGGAAAAGGTTTTTCCTGATGGGGGCGTAGATGTTTGACAGGGCTTCTGCGTGGAGAGGGGTTATGGAGAAGTTTGGGGTGTGGAGGTGGCGGGTGGTGGGTAGGCCGGTTTTGGGTGGTGTGGTAGACATTTTAGGAAAGGGCTACGGTAGTGCTTGACGATTTTAGTTAAGAGAAGTAGTAGTGAGATGTCTTGGAGTTGAGAAGATCTGTGATGCTTAGAAGTATGTGCGGCATGTCAAATATATATTTGGTGTCGAGTTGGTGTTGTGGCATATTGCTCATGTCTTTCCGTGGTTGAGTTAAGTGGGTTGGCCAGTCATGTCTCTCCTAATGGTATCAACTGAACTTCTTTTGAGGATTTTTAGGATACCTCACTCTTTCTGTTTCCCAACCAGGGTAGCAACGTATCCTCGGAGGTCTTTCGCTTGTTGCAAAACGTGGCTACCGTAGTTGCCTACCCTACGTATCCACTCTGCCGTCGAACACCCAGAACTATGTGAGATACCCCAAGCCCTATCAAACCCACACCCGGTGTCCGCACACCCACCATATCGCTTCCTGGTATCCCTCATCCCCTTACCATATTCATCGAGTGATGCGACCGCACCAAACCCTGTCACTCCAGTATCGAGCTGTGCACGCCATCTCCCAATGGTGAACTTCGTGGTCAAACGGATGATTCGTACCTTCTCCGTACTTGCATGTCTCTTCCTTACCTGTACAACCTTTCCGGCGACAAGAATGCCCAAGATAACAATCAATTTGACGGCAGAAATCACCATTGCCGCAGGGTTTGCTCTGACACATGTACCGCAACCAGATCCGCATGTTTTCGGTTATGTCGCCATGATCGAATCGACACGGTACGCTCATACATCTGTAACCTAGATGAAAGCTGTTGCAGCTGTTTACCCCGTTATTGTTCGCTTTGTGAGCGTGGTATTCGTCGCGGAAAAAATCTGGCGGGCGTGGGATGATGGTGATTTCGATGCGCTGGTTGCCTGCATTGACGGGGATGTATCCAGGCAGATAGTCGACTCGCTTCACCTTGCTGTTGCTTTGGAAGCCTAGTGCTGAACCTGGCGATGCGGGAACTAGGAGGACCAACAGGCATGCCGGGTCGTTGGTCAGTTCCTCCAGCTTTTCTGTACGCTGTTAGTTTAATCCGATCTGGGGATGACAACAACTTCAACTAAACCACTCACTGCTGTAAAATCGTACCCTCTCGCTACGCGCGTTCAAAGCCACAATTCGGTGGTCCTGAAGCTTGGCTAGGTCGGTCTTGAACCTGGCCATAGGGTCCATCGTACGGTGGCTAACCACGGGCACTACGGCCACCACCTGCAGGCGCCAAGAGTGCAGTCCCGAATGCTCCTCATTCGGCAGGTATGGCTTGAGAGTTGCACGCATTACTTTTTCCAGTGCTCCAGGAAGATCGTCAGCTTCGGAGCTGCGATGAACGAGTTTATCGGTGTACTAGATCCTCTTAGCATCTGTCTATGAACGGGGAGGCTGCGAGACATGTGACACGTACCGGCAGGCTGGATGCATCGATGATTATTTCCACGTAAGGCTGGTCAGTCATGATGAAGTTGTGCGTAATCTCAGGAAGTGGACAAACTTGCCCTTTTTATAATTTCTCAGGTTCGTGATCCTGGCTTATTTTTGACTCTCGTGTCTTACGTTCTGTCTCTTCCAGACGATTTCCGACGCTTCCAACTAAGACCACAAGAAACAAAACAAAAGTGACTGGGCGATGCTACAACACTCGAGAAACATCATGAAATTGCGCCTAGAGCGGCATTCACTATCGCACAACAGACCCATCCGTCCAACAAACATAAAAAGAAAAGGACGGCGAAAGCCCGGGATATATAACAGATAAAAGAGACCCCACACTCTAACAATATCTTACACACTCCTCCACAACATTCCATCTCTTCCTCCTCCTCTCGACCTTCTTCTCCTCTGTAGCCTCCAAATCCTGGAGCTCTTTCAACTTCTCAAAGTCGATACTCTCTTTCTCCTTCTGCTCGTTCTTCTCTTTAGCTTCCTGTTCCAACTTGACCAACTCCTCTATATCCTTAAGTCGCGCTTCTTCTTGCTTTTGCCGATGCTCCTCTTGTTCGTTAAGGCGGCCTTGCTCGTTATTTTGCTCGAGCTCATGGAGCCACACACCCTTGCCATCGTTGAAGACTTCTTTGAGTTGGGGTAGGGTGCCGCAAACGCCATCGACTTCGCCCCAGGGTAGCCAGATTTGCTCGGCTTCGGTCCATATGCCACCTCGTCCGCCGCGGTTGTCCCAGTAGCGATCGCCGCCAACGAGGTGGTTGTGGTACCCGTCTGAAGACTGGGGCGCACGGAAGTAGTTTCTCAGCATGGCACGTTTGTGGTCTGAGTACCACAGGTTATCCCAGGTTATGTTAGCAGCTGGTGGACGCTCGCCGCTCGAGTGCGAAGAGCTGCCCAAGATAATGGCGGGAACCGAACCGGAGTATGTGTTCTGGATCAATGGAATGCTATCCCAGGGTAGTTTCCGGCTGGGCAAGCCATCGAGTTCGAGCGTAAACTCTAGGTTGTCAATGTATGCTGGCTTTTCGTTGGGAGACGGGTTGTGCTCGACGAAGTCGGGGCGCCAGAATGGGGTCTTGGTCTCGTTGAGGGCGGTGGGGAGGGAGAGATAACGGGCGTCTGAGTCGGAGCGACTGTATTGCGATAAGTCGGTCGAGTTGTCGTGTAGAAGAGGCGCAAGTTCGTCTTCGACGCAGTAGTCCAGAGGTTGGAAGAGCGCGTGGGTATAGTCCAAACCGACAGAAAATTCATGACGTGTAGTGTTCGAGAACTCAGCGCTGGCATGCTCCAGTCTTCGCTTGGCTTCTGACGTGCTCGCTCTGCCCGTGAGGTATTCTTTGACTTTGGTACCCGTATGCTTCGATGCCACTTCCTCCGCATCTCTGCCCAATTGCTGCTCGGCGAAGAGAGTCGCGAATACCGACTGGACCGTCTGGGACTGACTTCTCCCCTCCATATATTTCTCCAGAGCAAACTGGTAAAGCATCTTCAAGTCACTGGCCGGACCCATGACCATTTTGGAGTGGATGAACTTCGCTGGGGTATCTGATATGCGTCGACCGTTCTCGCTTCCGTAGGTGTTGTCCGAGAGTATCGACTGAGGCACGTATTTGCAGGCCATATCATCGTTCTCACAGATCTTTTCTGCGCCAAACACGATCGTCTGGTTGAACTTCTGGAAGCCATCCTTGTTAACGCCATACTTCTTCAGCAGCCGCATGTTGGCATCTGCCAACAGCCTCTTGTACTGCGTGACAATCACATCGCTTGGCAGCTGGAACATCGACTGTTGTCCGTCCACGATGAGAACCAAGTCATGGTCCTTCACCAGCTTCTCATTACTCAGGTAATGCAGCGTGCTGTTCAGTGTGTCCCTGTCCCACTTGATGTCCGACTCGTATGGCTTGTGTAGCTGTACCGCAGTCGGTGGAGGGTAGTGGAGAAGCATAGCAGATAGAGTTGTCTTGCAGAAACCATCTGTGTCGCGCTCGGCAGGCATGAGGAGATGGAAGTTCGGCGTCGTCTTCTTGAGTTTCGGCGGGACGTGGTCGAGTTCGCCATTCTCGATCTGCAGCGTCGTGTTCGAGGGGGTCTTGAACGGCGAGTGTACGATGTCGGGCAGGGGCTGGAGATACGGCCGCCATGGGTAGTACGAGGAGAAATTGTGGTATCGTGAAGATATGGCCTGTTGGAGTTAGCTCAGACCTCGCTGATGACGTTCAAGTCTGGTGGGGTATGTCGCATATCTCGACGTCGTCGTCTCTGGTGTCTGTGGAGGTTGAACATACCTCATGATTCCTCATACCCGTCAATCCAAGCAGAACCGTAAGAAGTGCAATCGTCAAGACCATCATCCTCCCTCTTCGCGTGCACGCCCATTGCACGGCGGCACTTCCAAACTCTTTGGGCGACTGTGTCGGAGACATTGGCAATGCCAGCATTGCATCGCCTGCCATGGTGGGTGTGGAAAGGAATGAGCGATTCGACGACCTGTGACTCCCTCGCTCGAAGCGGAATTGGTCATACTTGGTCGACGGCCAGGTGGGACGCGCTTTCTGTATCCCCTCTGTGTGCCTTCCGTCTGGTGTCCCTGCGTTCCAAACGCCAGGGTCTCAACACGGATAGTCGTCGTCACACGTCACGGTCCGATCAAGAACGCGCGTAATCTCCACTGAGTTGCAGTTCTCTGTTTCGAAACAATGCCGCTGCCATTCCGCACGCGCGCGCAACGGCATCTCCATAGCTGCGTGAAACATGCTGGAAACGTCTCGAGTGTAACCCTTACATTTCTTAGAAGGAAGTTGAGTTCAAGAGAAAGTCAGCCATGGACACGATGATAGGTGCACCCCTGTCTGTCGCGTCGCGTCGCTAATCTCAACGCGGGCTAGAGGCGGAGCCGCTTCGGCAGTCTTTGCTTTGCAGATCCGATGGATCATCAGGAACACTCGTCATAATTGCCGCTGCACATGGCTGTTCGCATGTGAACTACGTGGGGATCCGCTTATGATTGCTGTAGCTTGGGCAACATCTCCAACAATCATCTGAAGAGATTTCAGGAGCTGCAAATCGATGCACCTGCGATCTTCCAAAGGCTAAATCGGGCAGCTTACTGCTAGCTTCTTTTGATTTTCGAGGCTGACAGCAGAGAAATTGTGTGCTGATCTGATTATCCGTACAACGTTTGTGGAGAGTCGTACGACAACTGTGTCGCAATGGCTTGCGCTGTGATGGGATTCGGTCAGACTCCTCGACATACGCAACAGCCAGTAAGGGTTCCTCGACACAAACCGTCAAGCTCCACCCCCTAGAATCCAGCGATATACCGATGCTTATCCGTAACCTCAGTGACCTCGAACTTCATGCCAACCCTGAGATCCCCAACCGACTTCGGCACAGCGAGCATACCATAGCAGGGCTTGTATGTAATCCCCTCGTCGATCCTCCGATATTTCATGAGCGCATCCCAAGGCTGCGTTTTGTGCTTCTCCGCCGAATCAGGATGTACATTAGGCACCTGGCACCGCGCGCATCGCTGGGTGATATCCAGAATGATTGGCTTATCACCAGCATTGGGTGTAATCTTGATGGTCTTCCAGCGATCTTCATCCCAGGGCGCGTTAGCATCACCCTTGACAAGGATGTTGGGTCGGAAACGGCGGACGTCGATTGTGAGGCCTTCTGCGGCTTTGAGACGCGTGTTGAGTTCGTCGATGCTGGATTGGTTGCCTACGAGCACAGGCATCAGGTCGGGGAAACAGGTCGATGCGTCTCTTCCTAGGACGCCTGGTGCACCGTTCGATACTAGAGGTCTGGGGTCTTCGGAGACAGGGGGCTTGTACACTAGCCGTACTTCCTTATCGAAGAAGCTGTTGAAGGGAGCGGTCATCTTCGTAGAGTACACGCGGGTTCCCGTCGTAGTACTCCATATCTTTGCGGAGTGCTCTTCGGTATTCTCGTCGAGCCATTCTTTAGATGGATGAGCCGGGATGGAGAACTCCAACTTCTCGTCGACCGAATTCGGTGCAGGTGCGGTAACGGTAAGGGTATCAGTCTTTTCGTCGTAGGTTGGTCGAATCAGTGTCATCTTGGAGTTTTGGCGGATCGTCAGAAACTCGTAGTTTGGGTAGCTCACCCACATCCATTGGCGATCTGGCTCTGTCAGCATGTTACATTTCTTCGATCTGACAATAAAGGCGCACCGAGATCGAGACCTGTTGGCAAGAGCTTTGCCGACTTTACGCTGATGCCGTGGCATGACTTGATGGGGTGGATGAAGAGTCCCGTGATCTCAGTCGCTGATGGCAAAGGTCCAGCATTACTCTTTACTTGCTGATTCTTGGTGAAATAGATGTATGTGAGAATGGGTAAGACGAAGATCGATAGTAGAATCGCGACCTGCGTAGTGGCTGGGAGCGCCATGTCGATGAATGTGCCGTTTGACAGCCAAGATTGAACGGTTTGCGCAGAACCTCAGGAAGATGAGTTGACTCCGGGATACTTCATGTACAAGTCGTTCTCTTGGAGTGTAGTAATCAAGCCCTAGAGCGGTTTTCTTCTCGTGTCGTGTACCAATGCAGATGTAGCTGTAGGGCGTGGTCTGACAAATCCAGAATCAGCGCATCGGTCCAGAGCAATGCCAGAACAAATATCTTGCCTAATCGAGTGACGCAGAGCGGAGTTTATAACTACACTTGACATTTGACGACAATGACGCATCGAGCGGGGAAGGCGTTCGCAACGTAACGGGCTAGCGCTGCCGAAACCTCGCGTGTGCGGCGTCTCCGCGGCAGTCATGCATCGCGAGAACGCGACCGCGACATCCAAACATGCGACCTCCTACAAACTCTCGGACCGCATCCTCTTGCGCGACCTACCATCGTCACCATCATCAGACTCCTCCTTTTCCTCCCCCTCCCGCACCCTATTCAATCTCTCAATCTCCCCCTCCAACTCAACACAATACCCATCCAAATCCTGCGCCTGCTTCATCTTCCCCTCCAACTCCCTCACGCGCTGCTGTAACCTAATATTGCCCTCCATACGCAGCATACACTCCCTCTCCGCAGCATCAGCCCGTTGCTTCTCCTTCTCGACCTCGTACTCCGCGTCTTCCAAAGCTCGTCGCCGTAGCTTTTCGGTTGTCTCGTATTCTTTGAGGTCGGATTGGCAGCTGAGGAGCTGGGAGTCTTTGTCGAAGAGGGTACCGCGGAGTCTGGCGGCTTCGCGGCGGGTTTCGGTGCAGGTTTTGTTGGGGCAGCGGGAGGGGGGTTGGGGTCTGGTGGCTGGGGTGGGGGATTCGGGCTCTGATGGCTGGCTTTGAGGATGGGGTGTGGAGCAGTCGATTGCGCTGTCGGGGATGTCTTGCTCCCATTCTTCGCGCTCGCGCTTGCGTGGTGTAGATGGCATTGGAGTCATACTCGCCATGTAGCTCCGATACTCCGCCCCCGACATACCGACTTTCTCTTTCGGCTCGTCAAATCGATCGTAGTTGTACGGGTACCGCTGGTGCAAGGGACCGTTCACAGAGGCGGCAATTGCTCGCTCTTGTGGTGTGTACATGTTTTCGTATCGCTTCATTGCTTCCCGCTGGTAAGCCACGCCCGTAGGCAGATCCGGATATCCTTGAAAAGGGCGGAGTTTCTCGATTGTCGACAGAGTGACATATGGCCAGGTCTTTGGGTCTTCCTTGTCGTAGGTAGGGATGGCGCGCTTGATGCTTGCATATAGCCTCGAAGAGACGAAACTGAAGGTGCCCTCGTAGCGTGGTAGAGATGGCATCTTGTGTCGCGGTCGCGTTAGCCATTTCTGCTGCGTTGACGCCCATGCTCGACCTACCTTTAGCGTTTCTCACGAGCGACGAGGGGCAAAATGCTGCTGTTGTCAGTTGGAAGAAGCAGGAGAGGTTTTGCTAGCTGCAGGAGTCGCTCGTCGTAATCAAACACCCGCCCTTTCGGTTAGTCTGGGAGATTCGCGGTGAGAGGGCGAGCGCTCCTCGTTCACCTTCACCTCGAGTCATCTTCACCACTGGTTGTCATGGAACCTTGGTATATTTCTCGCATTGACCGCAAGATCCGTAAATCTATGGAAAATAAGGATACCTAGGTAGGAGACAGAGCCACCAGGCTGACCGATGTCACTCTACCGCAGCCAGATCTTTGGTGACTCGGTGGTTCCACACCGACTGTCGCATTTCCCAACTGTGTTGCCGAACGAGCCAGCATACGCAGGAACCAAGAACCGGACGCGCGCACACATCCCTCATGTTGCTACTGCATTTCGCAACTCTCAATCTTCGGCTTCTTCCGTGCTGCTTCTGCCCCATCCCCCTCCGCTCTCTTCTTCTGCAAACCTGTACCCTGTTTCTTCTTCTTCATCTCTTCTAAAATCTTGAAAATTTGCTGCTTTGCCACCTTGGTCTCCTGCTTCGCTGTCGCAATGTCCTCGCCACTCTTCTTGAGGTCCGATTGCAGGCTGGCGATCTCATCTTCCTTCTTCACCAATATGTCTTTCAGGGTACTGAGGTTGATGCGCTCTTGGCAAAGGAGCTTGTGCGATTGTTCCTTGTATTCACAAAGCGCCTCTCCAACCTGGACGGAGAATCTTTGAACGGCCGTTTGGTACTTGGCTGTCATTGCAGTAATTTTCTTTTCCGCGCTCTCCGCTCTAATGTCTGCTTCTAAGCTCTCTTTCTTGGTCTTGTCGAGTTCTTCCTCCAGTTCAGTCACTCTGCTGTTGGGCACTGTATCTGTGTCGTCCAACATCTTCATGATCTCATGAATCGCTGCTGCTTCGGGCGAAGCATCCTCAGTAACCTCTTCAATCTCATTGCTGGCCACTATCACATCCTTGGTGTCCTCCTCTTTCTTCGCAATCGGGTTGCTCTTCTTGACTTGACTCATCCACTCCTCCAGTTCGTCAGATGGTATATGCGGATGCGCTCTCAGCTCCCCATTGCGATCATAGTTGAGCGGGTAGTAGCGAAAGAGGTTCTTCATGACTCGGTTCTTTCGACGGGTAATGGCCCGCTGGCCTTGGAGAGGTCGAAGCCCATCCATGTCCTTGATGAGTGTCTGTTCGTAAACCAGATACTCCGGAGGGATCTTGCTCTTCCTGTAGTCGAAGTTGTTCTCTGTTGCGACAATCTGGCTCACCAACGGCCAAGTGCTGGGGTTGTACATGTCATACGTCTGAGTAACTGTCTTTATGTGCATTCGCATGAAGTAGCCGTCCCATGAGAAATCGCCGTTCCAAGTCCCACGGGGCTCGATGTTCTTATCGCTCATCTTGGAGAGCAGGGGGCAGAGGGATTATGGAGCAGTAGGAGACCTCGAGAGGTTTGCACGAGATGGGGTAGATGTAGGTGTAAGATACAAGCAGGTCAACTTGATGAAGCCCTTTTATTCATACGCAATTGTTACCACCTGGGGTAATGAGGTGAGTTGCATCATCAGATGGCTTCTCTCACTCCCACGTTCTGACAGAGCTACGGTAAGATGCCGCAGCTGGCTTCAGACGCCATCGGAGACATTCATCAAAGAACACATTCGCATAGCAAATACAGCAACGATCACCACAACACATCTACCTCAATTCTCCCCATCACCATCACGCGACAAAACACCGCAGTGAGACACAACCCCGCGCCACACCCTCGGCCCGACTCTTAGGATGCATTGCATGTGGGGGAGAAGCGCCTGCACGAGGGGGCCAGCCTCACCAACCAGTCAAGCTCGGCAGCGCGCTGCGGCACAGTCACAACGAAAAAGGACCGCCCCCGAAGTCTGACTCAAAATGCAGGTACACACCAAAGAGCGTGCGTCTACAGCGATACACCGTGCGGCGGGGCAGGCGGTAGACAGTATCGGTGACACACATGCAGACGAGGCAATAGCCGTCCGGGGATGCATGGTGCATGTGCAGTGTGCATATGCAGGAACGGGAGTTTGCAGATGATGTGTGTAACGTGAGTGACGACAGTGCATGGAGGGCCAACGTCGATGGCGATGTCGATGCCAACGGTAACGTTAACGTCAATGTCACAACGAGGAATGCGGGGAATGCAAGGACACATATTTCTAACGAGAGATTTGAATTTGATTACCGTAGTATATACCCAACGCCCCCAGCCATGAACCATAATACCACAGACCCAGTGAGGCCGAACCCATGCCCACACCCTGACTCCGTCCCCCAGAAAAAGACACCCTATGCCTAAACGCCACCCAAAATCTACCTATAATGCAAGAGACAAGACAAGACAAAGTCGCCATCGCAAGATGAGGGTATAGAAGTAAAAAAGAAACACCCATGCCGTGAGTGAGTACATGTTTGGCCATCGCCCATACGAACAGTCTTGTGTCCTGCGTTGGAAAACGCTGATACATGAGGCGACAGTAGCGTGTAGTGTGCGCGAAGACAGTCGTGATGGTGCCAGACATGTGAATCGAAAGAGTGAAAATTGCAGATGCTGTGAATGTAGTGAAGATGATGGTAGTGCGTGCGTTTTGCCAGGACACTCAAAGGAAGATTAGAGTGTCGGTAGCTCAGCCGCTGAGAGACCGTGAAAGCAATGGCGATGGGATGAAGGAGTGACGTGATGCGACGGTAGTCGCGATGCTGGGCGCAGCGATGCTATAGTAGAGCTAAGCCTTTGCTGAAGTCTTCTTGACAGAACCTTTGTTGGAGACGCGGGTAGGTGTCTTGGGCGACTTGGCGGGTGACTTGGGTGACTTGGGCGACTTGGGTGTGCGGGCCTTAGCTGGTGTCTTCTTGGGCGACGGGGTCTTGCCGGGGAGCTTGGGGAGGAACTCGATGGAGGGGACTTGTTCGGTCTCCTTCTCCTCGAGCATCTGGAGGATGACGTCGACGATCTTCTTGACTTCTGCGTACGTCTTGTTGAAGCCGAGCCACTGGTCTAGCTCGCGGAGGACGTCGATGGGCGCCTCGAAGTGCTTGCCGATCTTGGGGTGGACACTCTTCTCAGCTTGATCATTCTTGGCTCCGGCGGCGACTTGACGGGAGTAGTGGTTTAGACGCGCTTCCTCGGACTTCTTGAAGGCGATGTCGTAGGTGGTGCCTGGGAACTGCTTCTCGATTACCTCGAACTGGCGGAGGATGAGCTGCACTTTGCGGATCTGCCACTTGGTCTTGTTGTAGGTCGCGCGTTGGTAGTGCTTGCGGCAGAAGAGAGGCCAGTCGGTGACGTCGCGGGTACACGCCTTGTTGCGGCCAAAGTGGTCGGAGATGACCTTGCGCGACAGGTCCTTGGTGTACTGGCCAGTCATGCAGCGAGTGTGCTCGTCGTTCATGCAGAGGAACTCGCGCTGTGAGTCGGGTACGTCTTCGCCATCGTCGAGAGACTCATCACCAGAGGCGTCGGGCTCGGCCTTTACTCATTTGATACTCGGTCAGTCTGTGGATTCAATGGTGAAGTGGTGACTCCGCACATTGCGCGAGATGCGTGCAGATGGGGGGCTTTGCACTTACGAGGTCGGTCATGACGGTGTCAGGAGTCTTGACAGTGGGCGATGAAGGCTCTTCCTTGGTCGACTTGGGAGTGGAAGGTGGTGCAAGTATGAGCGCCGAGGTGATGTCAGGAGAATCACTCGGGCTCTCGACGAGGTTGTCGACAGACATCTTGCTGCGAATGCTGTCGGCTTGAGTGACCTCAGGCGTAAAGGTAGCGCCAGCGGCGGTGTCGGAGGTCTTGATCATGTAGTCGGTGGACATGTTGACTGAGTCCGTGGGTAGATATATTACTAGTAGAGGGACGACTGTTGAAGGACGGTCGGCTGCACTGCTGTTGACGAGAGTTCAGTCTGTTGTTAAGAAAGTCTCGAGGGAGGTGAGCGGAGGCGGGTTATAAGTGGGAGAAAGGGTGGGAGGCGGCGGTGCAATCGCGGCAGGCCGATGGGAAGTGAAGGTGACTCTCAAGTGACCAATTTTTTACTGTTTGAACAGACCGCCTGAGCAACCCACCGTCACCTCAGGACGGACTCAACCACGTCCCTGACTATTGTCCGTGATTCACATGTGCCGTCGTACAATGCAACGCACTGCGGCCCGAGACCGCTCGACCGCTTGAGCCCCGCTGAACTGCCATCTGCCTGGTAACCTGGGCCAATGATGAGCCCGTGAGACTCGCGATACACGTCCCTGCCAAGACAATCGTTTGTTCAAGCCCTGGCCAGCCTTTTCTTCGAGCCGCGTATGACGCCTCGAGATCGCGACCCGTGTGAGTCCAACACTTGAAGATATTAATCATGGAATGGTCGGGAAGATGAAACAATCGCCGCAATCGCCAACCCGAGTGGCAACTAGGCAATATTGAAGCTGTGCCGCTACTGAAGGATGATTTACACTCAGAGTAGGCCCGCGGAATGTTGTTACAGTACCCACATTGACAGAATACGAACCAGACAAACCTTCGAGTAGGGTTGAATGAAGTGAGGGAGTGAGAGGAATGGAGTCACGCATACGGTGATTGAAGCCTAGGAATGAAGTCTCAAGACGTGACATGGAAGTTCGAATACGATTGAGTCAAACGAATCCTCCACGCATCTATGACGGCCCCCAAGTGACTGTTAACCGACCCAACCGCGATGGTGTACGTCTAAGAGCTCAGAGTCGACAATCAGGGCTCGTGCCAACAGTTCGCCAGCCCGACCCTTGTGAAGAGACTTACTTGCCGAAGGGTAGATGTAAACGAGCATCTACGGCGTGGCATGAGTTGGTTCCCGTTCCCGTTCTAGTTCCATGTTGTCTAGGTTTTGATAAGT